TGTAAATATATTTTTGTAAAGAAATATTCGTACAAGATCATTTAAAAATATCAATATACTTACAACGGTTTATCTGTATGTACATTGATCAATACTAGATTACACAAGCAGAGAAAAACGCACAGATATATAAAATTTTAAAATTTCATCTGTTGAAAAAAATAAAGGTGCATTTAATTCAGACGTTATCGACTCAGATGAGAAAACTATTTTTCCACATTTTCCGAAGAAAACTATTTGAATAAAATTTTTTCTGACATCGATTTTATTTATCGAATATTAATTCTTGAACTTTTCCCAAACATATTACAGTTTTCCATGATGTTGACAATTTTGCGTCTTAAAATTTGATTCGAAACTCAAGAGAATATTAAGTATTTTGAAGGTAAACCGGCAATAACAACTACGAATATGATAGTTATTCTCAACTTAATAACAGGAGAATTTGCCAAGGGAACAGATAATTTTATTCATGTGAACATGAATTTCTTCAAATCTTTCTGTGTGTCCATGAAATTACATTACATCTCTCATATATATATAAGGCTTAAACCCTAATATTCCATGGTTATAATTTATTACATTGGAATCGTAATCACAAATTCAAAAAGAAATCGGAAAATATAACTGATGCTATAAAAAACAAAATTTTAGTGAGAATCTATGTGTGGAAGTGGGAAACAAATGGGAGAGGGAAATGTATGAAAGCTCTAGAGGGGGTGTAAGAGAAGAAAGAAGAACAGGAAGTAATAAATTATAATCATGGAATATTAGTTTTTGAACCTTTTATATTAGATTCTTACTCTGTCCTGGACATTGAGTGCTACCTGGATTCTATCACTTAGAATATATATATATATATATATATATATATATATATATATATATATATATATACCACGGATATTTTATTTTATATATATATATATATATATATATATATATATATATATATATATATATATATTGACCACGGATATTTTTTTATATATATATATATATATATATATATATATATATATATATATATATATATATATATATCATAATTAATTAATCATGTCTATAAGAATCCTCAACAGAATGCAGAAAGCACTGGACGTGCGTTTCGTCCTATTTTGGGACTCATCAGCAGTGCGCATACGCTACGAATAATATATATATATATATATATATATATATATATATATATATATATATATATATATATATATATATATATGAACTGGCTTCTAATGCTCCGGATGGAGCGGCTTCAGGATAGAAGACGTGACTCAGGGTGGGCAACGTCCATTAGTATAGGTAGACTCGGATGAATCACACGACGGAATTTGTGAAGAGCTCGTTTGTTACCTCTACGTCACTGAGATCCGTTGGTCCAGTGCGTATTACGCTTGCGTCATATCGTAACGGCTCGATGCTTTTTGTACACCTATAGCTTACTTTAATATTATTTTGTTGAAAATCTTCTTCTTATATATATATATATATATATATATATATATATATATATATATATATATATATATATATATATATGTTGGAGAATGACCAGAGTGTTTATGAATTAAATTCAGTAAAATTCTACCCACATTGGTTTTGACACATTACTGGCGAAAGGTGTGTTGAACCATATTATGTGAGGTTTGCATTATTTTAGCTTACTTTTATAATTATTATTTCTTTCTACATACTGTAAATTGACTGTATGGTTGCTGCATTTTAGCCTTTTGTTATATCTAGCTTTATTATCCTCAAATATTTCTTTGTTACTGGAGTTGGTCGATAAAGTAAATTATTCAGATTTGTGTAAATTGTCAAGTATCATTTTATGGTGGTTTATTTTCTGTCGACGTACTTGTGCTTTTATGAGTCCACAGTGTATGGTTTATATAGACCTTTACTCAGGTCAAATGAAATGTCTACGAAATTGATCACTTTAGCATTGGTATTGGTGGTAATGTTTACTTTATGGTCCTTAAAGTATTTAGTTAGGTCCTCTTTCACTTGCTCTGCTTGTTTTGCTCTCAGTTTACGAAGGAGAATTGTCACGTCGTCTTTGTATATAGCGTTATTTTTTATATATATATCAGAGATAAATATGAGTTTCCATAATAATAGTACCCCTACAAGTTCACATGCTTCGCAGAATCATGTGCTCCTGGGTGTTGTAAAGTAGTTTTACAGTGGAGGCTTGTATTTCACTAAGTCGTCCTAAATTAGGTTCGACGTACAAAACGTTAGGAATTGAAAATAATAGTTAATGACGCAGCAATCTAGTTGTGGTCGTTGATACTTCAATGTCCGACATCGACTGTCTCACTCAACTCCACTGAGCCCAACTGGCGATCTCTACTACTACTACTACTACTACTTATTATTATGTGTGGGTGAGTCTATTACAATAGAATAGGTAATGTTCTAGTATAACACCATGGATACGCAAAATTCTGGATTATTTTTTAGGAACGTTCATCTATATTTGAAGGTTAGTCTATTTCATTTACTGTAATTATCCCACAGTCCGTGACTATTCCTTTCTTGAGGAAAGAGTCCGTTGTCTAATTTTTGTCATAATATATATGTTCCTCACAAATATCAGTCAGTTCTATGCCATGTGTGATACACGCTTAGGCGATCATCTATCATCCGATGCATGACTGACATGACAGTTTTTTCCCGCAGTAGGTTGCTATTTCTTTCTACGGTAGACCAGTTGCCATCCAACCTACTATTTACGCATAGAGAGGGAGAAAGAAAGGATTCATACCTTCCCCAAGGGTATTTGCACATAATACGAACTGACTGGATTTCAAACTCGGCTCTCCGAATCCTCAGTTTGAGCCTCTATCTGTTACTCCACCGTGCCTCCAAAGAAGAACGGGAGATATAGACGAGGTTGGATTGAAACCTGACAGATTCGGTGCCAGTGTTCCTACACTTAAGCCATCAAAATCCACCCACACAAATGTACTAGTAATATATAAATATCTTGTTGGTGGTACAGTATTTTGTGATGACAAAGAGGAACATAAGATACTAAGTGCAGAAAATGCATATCTGTCCTAGCTCGTACGAAAAATGGAGGCAAGAGTAAAATATACAAATGAATAAAAGAGAAAAAATTGATTGAGCTAACCAGTTTCATAGACCTTTCATCAGATCGAGGTAAATAAAAAATAAATACCGATTGAAAAAAAAAGGAACTGGGATATACGAAGAAATACATGCATCTTAATAATATATTGAGATAAACACATTTTTTTCACAAGCAGATCACATTAAGGCTATAGAACTGCTCCTCCAGTTTTCATGTGATTTGATGTTTTTCTTTCATAAAGATCATTCCAATGACTTTCCGCTGGTAACTCGAACGCGATCTGTACTTGACCGAAAAGGTCTCAATAGAGAAGAAAGCAGCCTTAAGGCTATATTTTATAAGATATTCCGCGATAGTAGACTCAAAAGTATCTTCAAGCCTATGCAAATCATTTCGCCGATCCATACGTACATTCTACAGTTAAATAATATATCCAAAAACATCTACACTGAACGATAATATAACTACTGGTAGATTACAGCATAGTGCTAGGCGTCAAGAGTGTGTGCCGGGAAGAATAACCAATGAAAAGGCATGCTTGATCGTAAGACTATTGCAGGTACCGTTTCCCTGGACTCCCTGTTGAGACCCATATCGCTGCATCTGCACAGAGATGTGATAAGTCTTCCAATATAACGATCTTGGAAAGGATCTGTATAACACGTCATACTGAAACTACCGGTGTGGGTATGATCATTTAATCACTGTTGCAAACATCGGGGTCACACTGTAGCATTAAGATGAAAATTCGTACCAGTTCTCCCGAAGATTATTAAGCCTTTGATGGCCGACAATATAACTGCTCTCAAAAGGCTATAACTGACAAAAGATGTGCGGATGCAATTTAAGATACTTGCATTGCACTGAAACTAATTTCAGCATTGTTAAATATCCATTCTAATGAAACCTGGCGGAAATAATGGTGGAAAAATTGTTTTTCTTTTTTTAGTTGTTGACAGTTTTATTTCCAACTATTTCTCGGCCTCTCATATATATATATATATATATATATATATATATATATATATATATATATATATATATATATATACTCTGGCCACACCAGGAAGATGTTCAGGTTCTACTGGACCGTGTGAACTCAATAAGACCTTCGATACAGTTCACAATGGAGAAAGAGAGTAACAACACACTCCCGTTGCTGGATGTTCTAATATCTCGAACAGAACATGGGTTAAAGATATCCGTATACTGTAAACCGACATTCACCGGACAATACCTCAATTTCAACTCCCACCATCCATACAGCGTAAAGAAAGGGATCATCAGCTGCTTATAACACCGGGCAAGAGTCATAAGTGGCGACCCAGAGATATTCGATAAAGAATTGGTCAGTATAAGTAGTACCCTAAAACGTAACAACTAACCTGGGTACATGTCAGCAGCCCCCCAAAACTGGGATATAAGGATACAAGAGGAGGAGAACAACAACACTCAGAAAACAGTCTATCTTTATTTTAATACTCTCAAATTCAAATTCACGGATAACTTTATTCGTGCTGTTGTTAAACTGAGTAAGAAAGACGCCGTAGTTGTTGTTTCTTTTTTTTAATTTTTCCTAGTATTATCAATCTCATTGTATTTACTAAAACACACACACGCATACACACACAAACACATACATATATATATATATATATATATATATATATATATATATATATATATATATATATATATATATTTCGATAAACGTGCAATCAATTTACAAATTCATGAATTATTCACACAAAAACAAATGCAAAGGTTAATGATTTAATTGGCTAGAAATCCATCATCGCAAACAATTCAAATAATATACATTTCATAACGGATTCGGAGGTTTTTGTATATTATTTGAATTGTTTGTGATGATGGATTTCTCGCCAATTAAATCATTAACCTTTGCATTTGTTTTTTGTGTGAATAATTCATGAATATATATATATATATATATATATATAGATAGATAGATAGATAGATAGATAGATAGATAGATAGATAGATAGATAGAGTCTGATATAATAGTGTCTAAATAATAAAGAGTAAAAGTTTTTTTGTTAAGAATTTTTCTATTTGGGATCATTTTCCTTGTGTCTTAATAATATAAATTGATATTGAGCACTACATATATTTGGGAGCTTCTAAAATACGTAATGTATGCTATGTTTATATCCGTAAAAAGGGTGTCATAGCCGGGGTGTTAATGGAGTGAAGCTCCCCATGGCTATGTAATACTTCCATGCCAGCCGTCTCAAATAACTTCTAACAAGTCCAGTTCCATGTCGGAGAATCGGCGGAGGCTGACAACTGGCTTCTGATAACTATCTGTTACATTCAGACAATCCAAAAAGCCGAACCAACTGAGGGAACGAAAAGCCTGATTTTAAAGCATGCCGTCATATCCAAATGCAAAAAAAAGGTAATGGGAGTAAATCCAGAGAGATAACCCCCGAAGTGGAGCCCCGAAAACGGTTGGTTGCCAACACTGACAACTTCCCGGCAAATCCTGCAGTCAAGACGTTTTAAAATGTAATACCCTGTATTCCTTTGGATCATGTCGGTACAGCCGAGAGGGTGAAGCATGTAGCCTGGGTAATGCATAGCCTCCATATACAATCGCCCAGGCCTTCGTCTTAGAGAATTCAATGCAGTTTCACTACCAAGGTACTTTTGACCAAACAAAGGGCGGTATCTCTATCTCACGAGGTGAACTGATATATATATATATATATATATATATATATATATATATATATGTGTGTGTGTGTGTGTGTGTGTGAACGTGCGTGCGCGCGTTTGTGTGTGCATGTGCGTTTGCGTGTGTGTTTTAGTAAATACAATCCATTTATAATAAGAAAACTGTTTCTATATATGTGCTTATATCAAGAATAAAAGTCAGTTACGTTTGTAAGTTATCTCAGCTAAACAAGCATGTTGAAAGATTAATACTTTTGGGGGCAGATTTTTGTTTTATACCATATATAGGATTACTAAATCTCAAAATTTAATCTAGATTACAGTAATCAGATAAGGCCACAATCTTCATTCTCTAGATATTTATGTAAGATATATTTTTAGAGAAAATCTACGTTACATTTTGATTTTTTTTTTTTTGCACAACTACAGTGTTTACATATGCATGCATTTTATTTTTGAAAGAGAAATTTAAGATTTATGTGCAGCATAAAAACTGACAAATGATAATTAAACACAGCGGTCTCACCCCCTCTCTCTATCATACACATATATATATATATATATATATATATATATATATATATATATATATACCTATGCTGGGAGGTTTAACGAATCAAAATATTTATTCATTTATATAGACAGAAATATTTCATTAAATGCTCTGTTTATAATAAACAGAATTAACAACAGTTACAGGCCTGAAGGTCAGAAAAATTATCATAGAAAATATATGTCCCCCGACAGGAATCAAACCTGTATCCTACACGGAAACCTCATATATCCTGACATGCTATACCAGTTTAGCTACAGAGGATCTTAAAAATTTCAGTTATTTTGTTTTAATTAGTTTTACTCTTATGTCTATCGTCTTTTCATGTTGACTTGAATATCGTCTAACGTTAATTATGTTTTAATAACTATGTCCTGAAGAAGGTCTACTAGACCGAAACGTCTGACGTCGACATTGAAACAACATTAAAACAGCATATTTGCATATTCGGATTTTTGTTTTTCCATATATTTTTCTTCATATATATGTATGTATGCATATATGTATACAGACGCAGACACGAGAGTAAGTAAAAAAAATCTGCACTTTAGTCATAATATTTACGTTTGTCACAATGTTGTCTGATCATGCATGCTGATACTTGGTACTATTGTGCTAAATACGATCGAAATTTGACTTTGATGGCGCAGTTTTCTTGCCGTTGTTGCAGTGTAACAATATCCACTCCGCTAGAAGTGCGCACAAAGGAAAAAACAAGAATAGCGATTCTGATTTTTCTGGTCGGGTGGTGTGTCAAGGGCTGAAATTCATCGTAGCCTTATAACACAATACGACGGCGATGCACTACTTTATAGAAGTGTGTATCGAGAATTTTATAAGTGGCTGAAAAAACACACACACATACACAAAGACACACACACACATACATACATATATATAAATATATATATATATATATATATATATGGAGGCACGGTGGAGATCCGAGTTCGAATTCTAGTCGAATCCATTACATTTACTTACGTGCTAATACCCTTGGAGAACGTAATCTTTTTCTTATCCCTCCAGCTATGGGTAAATAGCAGAAGAGACCAGTGGAGGGTCCTTTGGGAACATTGTGGCACGTAGTGCACCAGGTCTCTGTATTCGGCCCTTCAAAAGTATGGTTACTCGCTGCAGAAAGCCTTTCACCACTATAACCAAATCATATGTACTGGTGTCTGTGCTGTAGGTTCCTCGGAACTGAGCTGCTTGACCCTCATACGTCGAATACAACAAGAGAGTCCACCACTCAACAACATACATATATATATATATATATATATATATATATATATATATATATATATATATATATATAACACACACATATATATATATATATATATATATATATATATATATATATATATATATATATATATATATATATATATATATATATATATGTATCGTAGTGGTTGACTAGTACGGCCATAACTTCATATCATTTTGGACAATATCTACTGATGTGCTGAACGAGTGTGTCTCTTTAGCCCAACAATGGACGTACATACTCTGGCACAAAAAGGGCCCTTAAGAGGTGCAACAGTGGGTTTTACATTATCATGCAATTTAAAATGACGCATGAAACCGCTTCTGGGCCCGCATGTCTAAATGCAAATATCACATTTCAGCTGCTGGACGTCTACGCTTTTATAATCAATTGCCACCTTCCCTCGGTGCGCTCTCAAGTGACTCCTTAGTCCAGCCATCGACAAACACACGATACCAAAATCCGTACACGTCACATCGAGCTGCCTGTGGGTGCCTTCAGGAAGTTCAACGAGGATGTCTCAACGGACATCTCTTTTAAATCTTGCGTGCCTCCTCTTCTCTTCCTTAAAGTGACACTTTGAGTAGCCTCATTTTAATTCTTGTGATCAGGTGCACATTCTTCCCAGTAGTCACAATGAATGTTGCATTTCTTCAGCGCATTGTTGACGAAGTCCTTAAAGCGCTTCTTAGGTTTGACGTCATTTCACTTGGCTGTTCGCAGCTTACCATAAAACAATTGCTTTGGAATACGGCTATCATCCATTCTGACGAGATGGCCCGCCCTAAATAATTATACATATATATATAAGCATATATATATATATATATATATATATATATATATATATATATATATATATATATATATATATATATATATATATATATATATATATATATATATATATATATATATATATGTAAATAATTATGTATAGATATAGATATATACATATATATATATATATGCATATGTATATATATACATATATATACATAAATAATATATATACATATATATATATATATATATATATATATATATATATATACATACACACACATATTATATAATAACTATACGTATGTATATATATACATATATATACATAAATAATTATACATATACATATATCTATATATATATATATATATATATATATATATATATACACCCACATGCATATATCTGTGTGTGTGTATGTGTGTTCTTTTGCCCACTGACAACATTCAACTTTCTATTGCATTACTTTTCAAATTAATGAAATCTAATAATGGAAAAATCACTAACTTTTATTAAATTGAATATACAATTTTGTTCCTAAGTTCATATTTTCAATTCTATACAATGATGCAAATCTGTGATTTCACTTAGATTAACGCGAGAAATCAAATATTCATAATACAATTCAAGTTATTCCAAATATCAGGTGACAGGTTTCTTTGGTCACTAGAAACTTTCAGCCAATCAATGTTAGTAAATATTATAAGTCGTAACTACAGAAGGATTTATTCCGTTTGTATCAAGGTTAAATTTTCTGATTATTAAATTCGCTCTGAATAAACGATAGCTTAAAATTATCTGTCTTCTGACATATTATTTTGTAATCTTCTGACACTACTTTGTATAAAATACATGTAAAATGTATTCATAACCAAATGGAACAATATCAAAACACGTACACTTACGTATACATAATTCATAATGAATGCGCATATTATTCACAAACTATATAACTGTATACGAAATCCATATTCACTGGCGTGCTATAATTTTGTGTCAAATACATGAAATGATTATTTTGTTGTATGCTTTTATCAGTAGTTCCTATGAACCTTGCATCGGATAAATTTAAAAAAAAAACGTCAAAACATGGAGTTAGTAGATGTGCTTTATAGATTATAGAAAGGCCTTCGATAAAATACGGCACAAAACCTGTTAGAACTGCTTAGCAACCTTGAGAAGGTTATAAGAATAAAGAAAAAGCTATACTGTTCAGCAGATATACGAAAATAGAAAGTCGTGTAAGACAAGGATGAGTATTCTCACCGAAAATATTTATTCTATTCAGTGAGGCGATTTTGAGAGAATTAAAAGTCCGACCAGGATTCACTATTGGCGGTCAAAATATTAGCAACATCAGATATGCAGATGACATATAGTGGAACCGGAAATTAAACTACAAGAACTCCTACAGGAGATAGTGAAGAAAAACTAGAAGAAATGATTAAACATCAACTGCAAGAAGACAGAATGAATGGTAATTAGCCAAAGAATGAATTCAAAGATACTAAAATTAAACAAACAAAAAAGAATTAAATATCTGCAGATTTTTTTTGTGTTTTTTAACAGAGGTCGGAAAGTGTGATACTGAAATATGGAGGTGCATTGCGATAGTCAATGATACATTTCAAAATTTAAACAGTGTATTAGAAAAAAGGAAAACCTCGTTAAAAACAAAGAAAAGAATACTGAACTGTTATATGATATCTGTCCTGTTTTTTAATGAATGCTGAACAAATTTCTTGCCAGACGAAGAAGAGACTTGAAGCAA